CTTCAATAAGATTCTCCTAGGTGCGGCATGTTGTAGGGATAAGTTTGAACACAATGAAACACTTCAGTTTACAAGGGGCAGCGGTGTTCTTTTTTTCATATACCGCATCGTTATAAAACAAACTGAGCTAAGTACACTGAGAAAACTAACTTTAAACCTACATCAGTTACTTTTAAAAAAGTTTGAATGATAAGTGTGTTAATTACTTCCCATTTCAAAGCTAAATGATTACCAAGGGAAACAACGTACTTTATTTTTTATAGGTAGTTTCAAATAGAAATAAATTTTTGGAAAATAATTCATAAAAGACAAATTATTGATTATTGTTGTCTTAACGCAACCATTAACGCTTTATAAGAAATTATGGTTATTGGTTATTTTAATATTAATTTTACGTTATCATTTTAAAATATTTTAATTTGAAACGTATTAGTTGTTTTACATATTTATTAGATAAACAAGTAAAATTTTTCAGTCAATAATACTTTCTAATCATCGTTCGTCTCCATAGGAATTTTTTTTCCCCTTTTAAACATATCAATAGGAACTGCCATCAAAGCATTCTTATGCGAATAAAATATTTTTGAGCTTTGGTTTCTCTTGCTAACGCGTAAATCTTTTGCCTTTTACTAAAGATTTCCGTGGAGAGGAGCATAATAATGAGTCTACCATTTTAGCATTCTCATGCTTCATCGAGTAAATCTTTCGAATTTTACTAATGATTTCCAGACGCCTACTATTTTCAAAGCAACATCAACAGTGGGGTTGCGCCCACTAATTTGATTCCTCTGACAAAAGCTGTTGAGAGGAGCTGCTAATGTCACGGCACTAACAGCTGAATGTAAACCATGGCCCCATCCATTTCAGGAACAACAGTCACCTTAGACCTGTCTAAGGATGACTGTCCCGAACTTTTCAACGCCAAGACGATACAAGTCACGATCAATAGCAGAGATCTACCTAACCTTAGAGGCCAATTCATTTGGCAGCTGATTAGCGAAAAAAACGATTCTACTACTCAATTACGGAAGAGCCGACGCGTGGTTTTTCAGCTCAGATTCTTTTGATGTCACCACGCTACACAATACAACGAAGACCTAGGCTACATACCATACATTCTCAGTTTTGTCAATTACGACAAGACCCGAATCGACTGAACCCTAAGATGGGTGCCACCTAACATAAATAACGATACACTCATCAGGGCCCTTAGAACATTCAGTAAAAATGAACCCGAAATACAAACCATACCTCTAACAAACAACCGAAGAATAACCATATACCCAGAAAAATCATCAGACGTTCCACAATACATTAAATTAAATTATAAAGACAAAGCAATGGACATCCTAAAAGCCATTCTAGGCAGAAAAAATGCCTGCCAACACTTATTTCATCTACCCAACACTGGATAAACCAATGCAGCCAACCACACCTCAACCCACCTCATCATGTAATCCCAACAACACAAGTAACAACGCAAGCAACAACAGGGAATGGTAGCACATACCAACAGCACAACTAACAACGTAAGCAACAACAGGGAATGGAAGCACATACCAACAGCACAACTAACAACGCAAGCAACAACAGGGAATGGTAGCACATACCAACAGCACAACTAACAACGCAAGCAACAACAGGGAATGGAAGCACATACCAACAGCACAACTAACAACGCAAGCAACAACAGGGAATGCACGCGTTCCATTGCTTGACAACGCAAGCTTCAAACGTAGCAACGTATCAGCAACGACAGCTAACACCAGCGTACAACAGCAAGACACTTCTAATCCCAATGGCAAACCACCACAGACTGCTATGGAAACAGAAACAATAGCCAAAACGAAGAACGAAGACAGTCCAGCCACACTGCAAGAAAGCTACATTTAACAAATCAAGATTAATGAAATGTAATGTTTAAAACTGCGAATACTTTAATTTAAATGGAAAAAATTGAAATGTTTTACTTTGAATTAAGATAATGGACATATTTCCCGTTAATGTTTTAATATAAGAAGAAAAAAAAAACGTATTAATATTTTGACAATAAGAAACACGTATTATAGAAAAAAATTAATTTAACCACAACGCAATAAGTAAAGTTGCGTATAACACGATAATAAAAAAACTACTCGAAGTAACAGAAACACGTTGCTCACAGAGCAGCACTGTGATCAATAGATTAAACATTCATTCTCGAACCTTTTTTGCAATCACTATCACATAGACATTGAAAAACACACATATATAATCGCCCACAAGGACACACATTTATTCATTAGCATACAAACTTAGAAATACATGATAAAACTGATACTTCATATGTAAGATGTCTTAAGGCTCCATCAATGAGCACCCGTCCCATCAGTAGATCTAAGCTGCAAGACGTAGTCATGCGCCGGCATCAACTACAGTACGCGTCAAGTACACAATTTCTGTGACAACCTCTGTAACAATCTCTGTAACAACCTCTGTAACAACCTCTGTAACAACCTTTGTAACAACCTCTGTAACAACCTCTGTAACAACCTTTGTAACAACCTCTGTAACAACCTCTGTAACAACCTCTGTAACAACCTTTGTAACAACCTCTGTAACAACCTCTGTAACAACTTCTGTAACAACTTCTGTAACAACCTCTGTAACAACCTCTGTAACAACCTCTGTAACAACCTCTGTAACAACCTCTGTAACAACCTTTGTAACAATCTCTGTAACAATCTCTGTAACAATCTCTGTAACAATCTCTGTAACAACCTCTGTAACAATCTCTGTAACAACCTCTGTAACAATCTCTGTAACAACCTCTGTAACAACCTCTGTAACAAACCTGGTTGAATGCTGTCATCCTAGGATCGTGTGAGGACCGATATCTACGTAGTCGCTGGCTCACGTAATGCGTCACAGTACTCACGCACGTAATGCGTCACAGTACTCACGCACGTAATGCGTCACAGTACTCACGCACGTAATGCGTCACAGTACTCAAGCATGCGATGCGGCATAGTACTCACAAAAGTGATTTTGTCTTCCTCTCAAGTATGTAGTACGACATAAAAGTTCATCCCAACTAGCGATTATCTACAATAGCAGGCGGCCGTTTGCCTAAACTGCGCTTAATCTTTCTCTAACCCACTTCTCATTACTAGCTTTCATAAAACAAAAATGTGATTACATGTTGCATTTCGTTAGTTAAATTAGTTTTGCGATATAATTTTGTTGCTTTCTTACACATGACTACCTGCTCCTGTTTAGTAAGTCTCAGAAAGCTTTTACGGCTGAGCCTAGTACTGGTCTAAGAAAGAGAATCACGCCTTTTCCTTAGTTCTATACTATATGCTGTAGGGACGGCGTGGTCGAATATGGTAGAGCGTTTGTCTGCTAGCCTGAAAATCTCGAGTTCGGATCTTGGACTATGGCAGTAGGATATCCCCGAATAAGCTTGGGTAAAGTAAAATCGGCTGTGTATAGTGCTAACCACATCATCCCTTCTTAATGCGAAGTAAAGAAATATAAGAACTCCACATCATCTGCCTAATGGTGCACTAGGTCTAGGCTATGAAATTGTACTTATACAATAGGTTGTAAGCAAAGGAACTATAAAGTTAACTATGTTGACAGTTTAGCATTACATCGCAGTTGATTATCTGTTGAATTGAAAACACCCATGGAGCTTCACATAGACACTATAAATTGTAACTCCCCCACATACACACCATAAAGATGTAACTCCCCCACATAGACACTATAAAGATGTAACTCCCCCACATACACACCATAAAGATGTAGCTCCCCCACATAGACACTTTACAGATGTAACTCCCCCACATAGGCACTATAAAGATGTAACTCAGTCGACAGACATTTTGTAGACTCCCCCAAATGCACACTGTGGCGTCAAGTAGACAACAGAACGTGCTATAGACACCAACGAACGATAACCTACCAGATATGAGTTTCCCACATACACGAAGGTTGCAGGTATCTTTATATCCTTTCAATTAATTTTAATTAATTTCACCCACTGACATTACACGGTAAGAGAAGCTTGGAGATACTTTGATACTTACTGCCCGTGGATGGACAATCTGCCCCTTATTATAGTTAATCAGTTGTGATCTGTTAGCTTTTCGTATGTCGCATTTAAACTAAAACATGCTGAGAAAAGTACAATGAGAGAATTTTAAAAACTCGGAATTCTACTAGCATTTCACCTACACGGTTGTTTTAAATCGTCGGTGAAACCTCTACAAAATTATGGGGTGGGGTTGGAGGGGTGTGCAATATAGAATAATTTTTCGAAGTAAACAAACTATTCGAAATGCTATTTTAAAAATAACCCCATAAGTTTCCTCAGTCCCCGTTCCCTCAGTAGTATATTCAAATCAGGAAAACGCGATGAACGGTGTATTATTTAGTTACTTCCCATATCTTAAAATCGAATTTTGTTAGGGATACAACCGATCTGTTTGCTTCTAAAGTAGCTTGATCTACCAATAAATTAATAATAACTAAAAGATAAATGGAGATAATAGGTTATTTAGATAATGTAACGTAAACATTTAAATGTTCTTTTAATCAAGTTAGTACAATTTGTTATTAAAACTTTTGCATTATAATTTGACTGCAGGCCTGATAAAATAAAAACATTAAAATTTCTTAAAGAAAATTAATTCAAATACTAAAATTTGCGAACAATCGGAGTTAGGATACGTTTCTAATACGGAGCTTAAAGATAATTATTTCTCTTTAAAATATTCTAGAATCACTGACAGGAAAATCACGACACCGACACTTGTTATAATGACTATCTCTAAAATCTCTGATCGGTGCCATCATAACTTACAGGTACACAAATACCCAAGTCCAAAGTACCTACATGTACACTATTGACAAAACCCAACGTAGCTACATGTACACAAAAGACCAAATCCAACGTAGCTACATGTACACTAATAACCACGTCCAACGTATCTACATGTACACTAATGGCCAAGTACAACGTAGCTACATGTACACTAATGACCAAGTCCAACGTAGCTACATGTACACTAATGACCAAGTCCAACGTAGCTACATGTACACTAATAACCTAGTCCAACGTAGCTACATGTACACTAATGACCAAATCCAACGTAGCTACATGTACACTCATGACCAAGTCCAACGTAGCTACATGTACACTAATAACCTAGTCCAACGTAGCTACATGTACACTAATGACCAAGTCCAACGTAGCTACATGTACACTAATGACCAAGTCCAACGTAGCTACATGTACACTAATAACCTAGTCCAACATAGCTACATGTACAATAACGACCAAGTCCAACGTAGCTACATGTACACTAATGACCAAATCCAACGTAACTACATGTACACTAATGACCAAGTCCAACCTATCTACATGTACACTAATAACCAAGTTGAACGTAGCTACATGTACACTAATAACCAAGTCCAACGTAGCTACATGTACACTAATAACCTAGTACAACATAGCTACATGTACACTAACGACCAAGTCCAACGTAGCTACATGTACACTAATAATCAAGTCCAACGTAGCTACATGTACACTAATGACCAAGTCAACTTAGATACATGTACACTATTGACCAAATCCAACGTAGCTACATGTACACTAATGACCAAGTCCAACGTTGCTACATGTACACTAATGACCAAGTTCAACGT